TGCCCCAGTTTTCAGTCTATTCGATTTTGCACATTCAGAAAAAAAAAAGTTATAACGATCAAAAAACTTAAAGGTCTCATAATATAAATCAACTGGAAAAGAGGAAACTGGATGAAACATATTTATTATTGACATGGAAACAAGCATGTTTACCTTATTGGGTTTTAGCTTTGTTCAGGTGGTTAACTATAATTATTTAGTTTGCACTGCACTAAACTTTTCCATATCAATGCTTTTGCAGCATGTCTTTAAACAGTTTTTCTTTTCTCCTACACTGTTTACATTCTGATCACTGCTGCTCATTCACTATTGAAAAGCTGTATGCATCGAAGTTAAGTCGAAATAAAGTTTGTCTAAGTCTAATTACCAGCGGTGCAGGAGACGCACTCTGAAAGGATGTTTGTTTTTGCCCACAAAATCATGTGCAAGAATATATCTTCATTCGCCATTTGTTGAACTGACGAATATCTGTTGGAAAACTGCTACATATCGCACAACCTCAATGGACCCAAACAAGTAGGAAGAAACTTCCTCTCTACCGCCAACACACCATGCTATAGTTAGCCAAACCTCTGTAGGAAAGCTAGTTTAAGTTTCCATTTCCTCACTGTTTACATACTTCACATATTTATCAAGAACCATCATTTAGTAAAGTTGAATAATCAGGGTTAATCCCCAAAAAATCCTTTCTATCTATACAACAGTCTCTGAATGACTAATGCCCTCAGTGACCATCAGCTGGACAGATGAGTCAGCAGTCATGTCCCTCGCAGCACTGCCTTTATGAGTTTAAAACAATGCAATGGTCTAATCAAACACTCACATCTCAGGAATGTGTATTGTGCTTTAAAATAGATTTCAGAAAAAAAAAGCTTTTTTCAAAACCTTTTTTTAAATGGTGTTATGTGAATGAATCATTTTAAATGAAACTAACGTGCTAAAACCAGTTTTAGCTGACAATTGAAAATGGTATTATGCCTGCAGACATGTCACAGCTTGTCTTAGTTCGGCTTCATCAACCACATTGCTGCTGGTATGCTCTTTGAGCAATGTGTAAACAGAAACAGATGGATGTACAAAGAGCCACCGCCGATACAAACTGGGGCAACCCACTGTCACTGCATGAATGATGGATTGCACCATATTGTTGGAAATAGGCTAATGTTTTTGTGCATGCTCAGATTTCTTATTTTTTCATCTATCAAGTTTACATAAAAAGATTTGTCAGAGGATCATTTGCTACGGGGAAAAAAAAGATTTTTGAAGACTTTCAGTACCTTGAACCGGACTATGTAAGCAGCTATGAGAACCCCGACGCTCTGGAGGAGATCCCCTAAAGCATGGATGAAGGCTGCCCTTACGGCCAGGCTCCCGTGAGGCCTCTGCTGACCCGACCCAGCCTGTGGACCTGAGGGAGCTGCCGGGCCATGGGAGTGACCGTGACCATGTGAGTGGAGGTGACCGCCTTGGTTCAGCAAAAATCCCATTCTGAAAGGACAGAAAACATTCAGATACCGACACTAAAAAACACACATTTGTCTAAATCGTTAGAGCAGCAATCAGCTGTAGACTTTAGGTAAACATTAACTTCAGTCTGCAGATTAAAACTAAATAAAGGCCGTACTTTGATCTGAACCTATACATTTTCTACTGATGTTTTCCTGACATGTTGCTTTGTATTCTATAGCTTTCTTATATAAAAACAGGCCAAACTTACATAACATTAACAGCCACCCCTACAGCTGCAGTGATGAGCATGACGTCCCCGTCTATATTGAAGTCCTGATGTACAGTCCTCTGGACGGCTTCGTAAAGCAGTATACCCGTCAGGATGTAGATGAGCACCACACTGAGGACTGCTGACACCACCTCTACAAACAACAAGTCACAATATGTCGTCAATTCCAAAACCGTGTTGAAAAGCTGAGGAAAAATTAAAAAAGAACAACTATGCCACGCTATACTTCTCCATTAAATAATACACAAATACATTAACAATAATTAAAATCCAAACTGAAAAACCACTTCTTTTCTGAAACTACACTGTCCAGCCTAACTTGATGAAACATTTATTAATTTCAATAGTGCTAATACACTAAATATTAATTCTCTTGATCAAATTCTGTTTTGTATATTTCTTATCAGATATTTTTGTTCAGCATAACGGGGGGGAAGAAAATGCCATTGTACAACAAGGAAAAGTAGAAGTTACCTAAATCAACACGAGAACAGTTTGCCTGCAATTTCACTTTGAAAAAGCTCAGCTTCACATTTCTAAAGGAATAATTTGGTTTTTTATCTGTCCCATGGTATATTTAAATAGAGAGATTCACATATAAACCAATGACTATGCAGTGGATGTAAACAGCCAAGTGTTTTAACCTTTTGTTTTATGATTTTAACTACAGGAGAAATAGGTTCAAAGTACAACATTTCGTTTTTTATATTTTTTTTTCCATTATTCTGTTTATATACCTTTAACAGTTTTAAGTGCTAAAGCTTGCAATAAAGGATGTATAGACAACGAAAGTGACTATAAATTCAAATGAAGATTAATCTTTACTCAAATTACTTCTTTATAAACACATCTTTATGGTGTTAACTGGCCCAAATGCATTAAGACCAGGCATTGGCTGTCTTTGTTTTAGGAGCATTAAAAATGTTATGTTCAGTGATCCGTGTCTCAGAGACAAGATCTGCTTCGAGTACAGTCCTCTAGTAAGTAAACAAACTCATCGAAGAGATAAATTAGCATAAAAAAAATCCCACATCAAACGACTTTCTGCACAAAGCACAGATTGTGCAGCTAAAAAAGGAAGAAAAAAAAAAAGGCTTCTGCAACTTACCTAGGCGATGCAGTCCGAAGGTGAATCTCTTGGTGGGCGGTTTGGTGGAAAGCCACAAGGCAAGCAGAGAAAACAAGATACCAACCACATCTGCTAGCATGTGCACAGCATCAGTCATTATGGCTAGACTGTTAGAAACATAACCCCCTGGAAAACAGGATGAAAAACCAGAGTAAACAAAGTGAAATATGTCGACTATCAGATCAAGCTGGGAATTTGTTTTAAAGGGTTTAATGATAACATCCCCAAAGAAACTAAAATCATCGAGATATAAAAAGCGATTTAAATAGTTTCTTTTTAAGTTTAGATTTTTTTAAGAAGCTCCGATCTACAGCTAGCAAAAGTCAGTAACTTCAGTAGTTTTTGTTCCATATTGGTTCTCTATATAAAGCAGTAGTTTCAACTGGAAATGTGGAAGTGACATCAATTAGTCTCACCCTTGGTGACACAACCTGCAATGTTATATGGCTCCTAAATAGTTGTATTTTTTTTTTTAATGGCAGATATTGCTACGGTGGTCAGACTTTAAATAACGACTCTACAAAACAATGGCATGGAAATTAAGGATGAGCGGCAGGAATGAAGGATAGATGACAGGGTTTACCTGGGGGAAAGAGATAGGAAGTAAGGAAGCATGGGAGTAGTGGAATGAAAGAGAAATTTAACAACTAGGACACATGTAAGGAAAGCAAAAAAGAAAGGAAGGGGGGAAAAGGGAAAGAGTGAAGGACACAAGGGAGGAACACAAAAAGAAAAGGAGGAAAGAATTGGAGACAAAAAAGCACATCTGGAGGAAGGAAATGATGAAGAGAAGGACAAAAGCATAGAAGGAAGTGAAGATGGTAGGGGGATGAGAGCCAAGATGATGGAAGCTTACAATGAAATGAGGAAAACAGGGAGGAAGCAAAAAGGAATAAAGGATGAGAAAGAAATAAGTCTGGAAGCTAAGAAAGAACACAGAAAAGACAAGGAATAAAAAAAAACTGACACATGGGGAAAAAAATGAAGTAGATTAAGAAACAAAATGAAAAAGAACGAGTGTAAAAGAAACAAAGGAGGAAGTACTTGAGAAGGAAAACTGGGGCAAGAAAAGAGGATGGAAGAAATTAGAAGGAAAAAAAAGGGCATCCACATTGGCAAAGGTTAAAAAAGGATCTCTAAACACAAACATTTGTCCCAACTGGAATCAAATTTCTGACTTTTCCAGACTGTATATGAACCCTGACAAACCGAAACTCTAAAGTGAATCTTTAAACCTTAGTAGCTACAGTTAAACAAAACTGGCATAAAACATGTTACTATCTTATGCTGAGAGCGCATCAGTTTTGGTTTGAACAGGAAGTTAAACATGACAAATGCAGGGCATGAAATGACTGTCCTGCTCTTGTTTTTTTTAAGGTTAATGTTTGATCAAAACAAAGCATTCTCTTCTTGTTTAAGGGAAACTGTCCCAATTTGCTTGTCGGTTTTATTCACAGCTACGAACATGTGATTCATTTTTAAGGTGGATTATAAGAGATTAATCTCTTTGGCAGTCCTGTTTAAACAATTTAAGGGAGAATCCTTTCAGTGTTCCTCTGGGTTTAGTTCGCTGGAATAATAAGTCACTGTTTGAACAGCTGCAAAAAAAAAAAAAAAAAAAAAAAAAAAAAAAAAAAAAAAAAAAAAAAAACAACTCCAGGCTGCCAGATCACAAATATTAGATAACCACTTCAAATGATTTCAGCAGGCAGCAGGAAAAATAAGAAACATCTAACAGAAATGTGTCACCATTTCCATCCTGTGTTTTGCTGTTACAGTCCCAGTCTGATTCTCATTTCTTCACTGCTTTAGAAGTAGTGGGACAACTCAATTATTTCTGTGGAGGAATATGAGTTCTCCAGGACTTTTAAAACTTTTTTTTTCAGTTCTTTGGAGCAATACTCGAAAATGAAGCAAAACTTTCAATAGCACAACTACCAATGAAAAGTAAATACTGAAGTCCTCCAACAATATGCTTTTGGTTTCTCCACTTATTCAGCACATAATACATCATTTAAATTCAAAGTATTGTTTTAAAACTCAAAATTCTGGGCAGTTTGGTTATTATGACAGTCAGCAACAGTATTCAGTCCAACCAACCAAGTTAGTAAATTATAAACAGGAGGAATTTCTGTACTATTTCTCCACTAAGAGTATTTTAAGAAAAGAATAAAACTGTATTTTAATTCATGCTGCAATTAAAGACTATTTTGCAAATCGATTAATTTGTTGATTTTTTTTTTTTTTTTTTTGATTAATCAATTAACAATCGGATAGCCAAAGGTTTGTTAAAGATTTTTTTTGCGAAACTAAACCAGATGAAACAAACTTTTCCACTTGAGGAGTTCTGGATAGGGTATATTGACAAACTAAAAATATTTAAAACTTAAATGCAAAATGTTTACATAATTTTATTTTACAGTTTTGGTTAATGAGTGCTCTAAGTGGGTCACTCTGTCAGCTAAAAGCACATTTTAGAGTCTATACTCCAGTTAACAATCAAACGATTACTATATTAGTTGACGATTATTTCAATAATCTAGTAATCCAATTGTTTGAGCCCTAATTTTTATGTATTTTGAAGCATTATTTAAGTAAAAATAATTTTAAATAGTATTACTGTTTTTTTTTTATTTAACATACTTTATTATTGAGAATATTTTCAGCATGTATGCAATTTTGTAAGCAAAAAAAGTGCCTACTTTGGCAAAATGTTTAAATACCTATACGAGTACTACAAGCACATGCAGTATCCCCAGCTTACATTTAGTTCTTTAACTAAACCAACAATGCCCGCTGCAGGAATCTTTATGTTTATATTATGCTTACAGGCACAAGTTATATATAACTGGAAACAACAAGAATAGTTTAAAACAGAGTGTCCTGTTTCACAGATCTACTAGCCAATAAGGAAGGGAGGGGCAGTACAAGCATTAGCAAATATAATTCATAATTTGAGTCCAAACTGCTTGCATACAGTATATTAAGTTAACAATCTAAATGTTAAATAAACTTTGGGGAAGCAGTTTGAATGATTTGTAAGAAAATGTGATGGAAATAAAGAGTTAATTGGTTTAAGGAACAAATTAAATGGCAATGTAGGCTGCATTGTTTGACATAATCAGACAGAAATGTGGGTTTTATTGTTTTTACCTATAATTTCCCCTGTCATGAACAGGAAATACAACACAGCTGCAATGATCAGCCTCTTCATCACCCTCCTGTGTTTGATCCTCTCCCTCTTCTTCGTACAGTTATCACAGGGGTCCATGTTCAAACCCGGGCTGCCCAGGCTGGAGGAGTCCAACAGGGAGTCATCATCATCCTGACCGCCTACATCTGGAGGGACCACCACGGTGCTCACCGCCACCCCGTTGGACGGAGCCCCGGCAGAGTAATCGGACATCTCTCCGGAGACGACCACCTTCAGTTTGTTAAATTTGGGTCCCTCGTCATCTTCCACCAGGTCATCAGAAAAGTCAAACGGAGCGGTGTCGTTCAGGTCCCAGCCGCTGCGATCCCTCCTGAAGGCGGACCGAACCTTACCGAAGAGCTTTCCACCGGACATGTTTAATAATCACCGGGGTTTCAATCACTCACATCTTTATAACGGACCGCGATGGTAAGGCTGCATTTTTACTCCGACCTGTCCAGAAGAAAAAGTGAAGTTAAACACCAGCTGAAAGGCGTTTTAAATGTGTACAACTCGGCAGTTCGAAGAAAATACATAGCTGAATCAGATAAACTTAACCAGCAATCATTTTTACATCTTTATTGTTTCCACATTATCATAGAAAGTCCATTAGCCCTCATAAAAAAACAAGAGAGCTGGTCAAACAGTAACAAGCTAGCGAGCACAGGTTAGCTTTCCTGTCAGTTTCAGACTAAAAGGCATCTCCAATAAAGTGACCGCTAGTTAAAACAAACAAACAAACAAATGAGAAAAGCTCACCGATAGAACTGCTTTCAGTTGTACAAACTTATTATTCTGCTGCCAAAGTGAAAGCTGTCATGTTCAGCAAACATCCGAGTCTTGACACCACCTTAGCTCCGCGCGAGGACCCGCAGGTTTGCTTCTATGCAGTTGATCAACGTCATGGGACTCTCGACTGTTTTTCTGGGATCCACATCAGTTGGCTCAGATCGTCAGAGTCGTTCTGCAGGGCCGAGTTGCTCTGCAGATTTCCACCAGAGTGGATTGTTTTTATTATTCATATGTGCTTGTTAAACCCTAATATTACCTACCTGTTAAGTGTAAAGACTAATATTTGTTTGTTGAACTGTATATAAAGTGTATATATATATAGTAATTTTGACACGGTACATATAGATGTATATAGTAGGCATAGATATATATATACTATATAGTATAGATTAACCCTGATTAGTACAAGTACTGACTAAAATAATTTATTTAGTTAAAATGTAAAAAGTAGAGGTTTTACATTGTAACTTTTTCATTTGAATTATACAAAAATAATGTTAAGAAATTAATTCCTAAAAAAAAAAAGAAAGCATAGAAAAATGATTTGTTTCCCTCTTTTACTCGCTGTATTGGTAAAAAAAAAAACCCACAAAAAATACTGTCTTTCCTGTCCACTTCTGTTCTAAATTAAAATTTTACACAGGATAATGTAGACTGAACTGAACATATAGGTTCTGCATGACCACTTTGATATTTTTAAAGCTTTGGTATTAACAGCATAACATTTGAAAAAATAGCATTATATTACAGAAAATCATTATAGAAAACTTGAAACATAATAAACACATTTACTTTAAAACCCCAATGAATGGGGAGTGTCTTGGATCTCAGAATCTGATCCAGTTCCAGACCCCTATGTTCGTCCACTGTCAATGTTTTTCTATAAACAAACTGTGCTCAACTGAACCAATTCTCTTTATGTTCTTGCTTACGCTCTGCTATGTTGCAACTGTTGCGCCATGTCCTCATCACCATGTATGGATGTAACAAGCCAGTTTTAAAAAAGCAGGGAAGAAAAAGCACAGATAATTGTGTTCTAATAAAGTAAGTAAACGTAAATCCACACGCAAATAAATATTCAAGTAAAGTGCAGATACTGAAAAACCTACTGAAGTACTTAAATAAGTATCTCTATTAAGACTTCGACTTAGGCAACTTTTATTGTCATTTTGTATATACAGATCGTATAAAAAAAATTGTGTTTTGTACAGCTTTCATGACATTTCCATTTCTCAAAGTGCTGCAGTGATCAAATGTAAACAGTGTGGGAGGGGAAAAAAATTTGCAAAAAACACATGATATGGAAGTTCGGAGCATTAAATATATATGGTGCAAAAGGCAGGGTTTTGGTTTGGTGTTATCTGATGCAGAGTCTGTGACATGATTTAGAGTTTTCTCAACTGTTCAGCTGTTTTATGGTGGTGGGGAAGAAGCTGTTGCAGAACCTGCTTCACCTGCATCGAATGCTGTGAAGCCTTTTCCCAGAGGGAAGCAGGAAGAACAGTCCATGGTGGGGGTGTCAGGGGTCAATGATTGCGCTAGGGACACGCAGCTCTGGGATGAAATGTCTTTAATGAAGCTCCACCTCCTCTCTGTAGTCCAGGTCGTTGTCTTCACTGATGAGGCCCACCACCTTGGTGCCGTCTGCAAACTTCACCATGTGATTGGTGGTGAACCTGGGGACACAGTCATGTGTCATCAGGGTGAACAGCAGGGGGCTCAGGACGCAGCCCTGAGGGGAGCCTGTCCTTAGACTGATGACATCAGAGGCGTTCTGTCCGACCCGAACTGATTGAGGTCTGTTGGTGAGGAAGTCTAACAGCCAATTTTGAAGGGGTGTATTGAAGTTGACCTGTACCAGTTTGCCCATCAGATGCTGTGGGATGATGGTGTTGAAAGCTGAACTGAAGTCCAGGAACAGTATCTGCACATGGATGTTCTTCTCCTCCATGTGTGCTAGGCTCAGGTGAAGAGCAGAGGAGATGGCGTCCTCAGTGGAGCGGTTTTGTCGGCAGGCGAACTGGAATGGGTTGAATGTTGGCGGCAGACTACAGACGATGTGTTCTTTAACCAGCCTTCACTTTATCATGATTAGAGTCAGTGCGGCAGGCCGGTAGTTATTTACTGAGGTGACCTGAGGCTTCTTTGGGGCCGAAATGATGGTGGCAGACTTGAAGCATGATGGCACTATGAATTGGTCCAGGTGTAAGTTACACCTCTTATAGCATCTCACAAATGCTTGTGCTGTCTTCACCACCTATGCTGCATTTCCTGACCTGCAACATGTCGTTAGTAAGATGAAGTACAACTCTTAAAGCATATCTAGATATATTTTTTTCATTATTATTATGATTGGTGTTTTAGTTGTTCTTTGTTGTTTTGGTATTATTATTATTTCAGTTTCTTACAAGTTATAACTGATTAATGATTACATTCTAATGCTATGGATAACAGTTAATAATTGAACTTTATTGATCTCACACTGGAGAAATTGAACTCTGCATTTAACCCATCCCCTTGAGGAGCAGTGGGCTGCTATTGTGCGACAGCCGAGGAGCAGTGTGGGGTTAGGGTCTTGCTTAGGGACCAGAGTGCAGGCTGTTTGGACTGAACTGGGTACATGCAACCTTCTCAACACACAAGCGCACTGCTCTAACCACTGGGCCAACACTCTCAACTCTATCTTCTTCATCTTAGAACATCTGCACTCATGGGGGTCTGGACAGGTACCTGTACCTGAAGACATAATCTGTTATATCTTCATGGACAGGTACCTGTTTTAGTATACCGGTACTAAAAAAGTTCTAATGCTGATTGTGCTGGGACAGACATAGTCCTTTCAACGCATTTCCTTTTAGCATTAAGGTTCTGTTTTTATTATAATTCAAAAATCAAGATTATTGTCATATTGAGATAGGATCATCCGTCAAATATTATTTTGAAAACTAATTAAAAAAATTAAAACTAGTGATTTGAAATAAGTCTAAATATGTAGATCGTGATGGACTATCTACTAATAAACATGTATATATGTAATTTCTAAGGAAAAAAAAAAACTACATACTTTTACATAACTTTGTATTCTACATGTCTATATCATACACACAATCCCCCTCTCTATAATCAAATTCTATGACTTGATTTAGTTTTCTTTAAAAATCGAATAATTATTTGTATATGTTTACTCCCCAAATTCTTCCTCATAATATCTACTAAATTAATCTTTTCCTAAATACATTCAAACTCTCTCCTCGTATATCTTCTCTTGCTTTCATATTTATGATATTCCAGTATAACATGTTTTATTGTTTCATATTTTCCCCATCACATTTGCCAGTAGTTTGCTTTTGAATTTTAAAAAGTATATAATTAAGTCCTGTAGGCCCAAATCTAACCTTGTTATTACTCTTTCCTCCTTTCTATTTCGTCTTCCATTTCTTCTTTTTCCTACCATCTTCCTTTTTTTTCTTCATCCCACCTTTTCGGCCATTTTTTCATCAGTTTCTATTAGAAATATTTAATACATTATTCAGAATAATAAATATGGGTTTGATGGTTGTATTTGTGTGGGTTCCAGCATATATTAGAGTAGAAGGAAATGAGAGGGCAGATAATATGGCAAAGAGGGCAATTCAAAATCCTAGTAGTTTTACAGATAAAACAAGTAAATTGGAGGGAAAGAGCATTATTAAAGAAAAAGTCCATCCTACTATCTAACTGATTATATTTTAAAGTTAATAATGCAGAGCTTGAATCTGAACAAATGACTGTTTTTAATGGTTTAATATCTTGTCCCCATTGTAAAGCTAATAATATTGCCAACATTTCCCCTGTGTAGAGTTGTTTCCGTTGGTTTTAATCGTTCCTATAAATGAGTTGGCCTATAGAGCCGAATCCTTCGCGTTAGCCTCCTTAAACGTGATCACGTGATGACGCAGAAGTCACATGACGCTGTCTCATGCTATAACAAATTGTAAATCTCCCTGTTTTTAATGTCCAATCTCCACAACACACAATCCAACCTACACTCGCCATTCAGCCGAAGTTTAAACAGGTAATTTATTGTCTCCAGTCATTCCGATTCACGGATCACTCATGGTTTATCGTGTTCCAGCCGTTTAAAGAGGCTCACAGTGAGCTAGCGAGTCTTCCTGGACACAAAGTCAGGAGACACTGCGTTTCTTTGTGACTCGTATGCAGGCGTTTAACTCGTTATTTCCATCAGATAAGAGTGTGGGATCCGACTACTGGGCGCCAAACAGAGAAACTGGGTCAACCGAGCAGCTCCAGATGGAGGTAGAGGGGATAGAAGACGAAGGACCTTCGTCCCAGAGTGAACTTCCAGGTATGATAGTTGCTCTCCATTGTCCATCCCTCAGATCTCCTCCTGCAGGAGGACAGGGAATGGGCCAGGAAGCAAAAAAACAATGACGATTTAAGTAGCAATAAAAAATAGGCTTAATTTAAAAGATGATTTGCAGTGTGTTTCTGTAAATCTAAAGAAGAAACCTTCAGGAAGACACCATAGCCGTTTTCAGGTTGCCATGTCTTTAGGTTGTCTTTCATGAAAGTAAAGGCAGGCACTAAACTAACCCGTATGTTAGATTCCAGGGCAGATTAAAGTCTAAGTGAGCTGCTTGTGTGCAAACACATGCCTAACTGTTGCTCAAATCCATGCACAGTTTGCAGACTTTTTTTTTTTTTTGCTGTCAGCACAAAAATCAACCATCAGGAATCTAGTTAAGCCTAATGAAGCTCAGAAACATGCATTTAAAGCTCAGAAGTTAAATATTTCATAAAATTATTTAACATGCAGTGGGTAGCACTGCTGCCTTGCGGCAAGAAATCCTGGGTTCGGTTCCCGGCCCGGGTTCTTTCTGCATGGAGTTTGCATGTTCTCCCTGCGCATGCGTAGGTTCTCTCCGGGTACTCCGGCTTCTTACCACAGTCCAAAAACATGACTGAAAACATGACTAAATTCTCCTTAGGTGTGAGTGTGTGCATTAATTTGGTTGTTTGTCCTGTTTGTCTGTGTTGCCCTGCGATGGACTTGCGACCTGTCCAGGGTGTCCTCTGCCTCTCGCCCGTAGACAGTTGGAGATGGGCACCAGCACCTCTCACAAGAATTAATTTTTTTGTAAAAGATTCTCAGTAATATCAGTGCCTGCTATACTTATCTGTATCATTTTCCTTCAACTTGACAGTTTTTACCACTTTAAGTCTGTGTTTTACTACCAAGTCCTAATAGAATGCATAGTTTGTGATTAGAAATGTGGCAGTGATCAAGGGCTGGGACTATTTATGTACCATAATCCACATGAGGACCTGGTAATCAGATGACATACTAAAAAACATTTATCCATGTCTGGTTTACGGTTGCCTTATGATGGGTCACAGCTACCCTGCTGATGTAGAACGGTTTATTATTGCAGCACATTAAGCAATTACTTAATTATTAATTATTTCATTAATTTATTAATCTAGCTTCCATATATCTATTTGTCTAGCTTCCATATATCTGTCTGTCTAGCTTCCATATATCTATCTGTCTAGCTTCCATATATCTATCTGTCTAGCTTCCATATATCTATCTGTCTAGCTTCCATATATCTGTCTGTCTAGCTTCCATATATCTAT